TCACTTCTGAATAAGAACATAATTCCATTGAGACGTGCGGAAGCCGGAATATTAGCTCGTCCTTGATCTGCAGAGCAGCCAACGCCTGTGTTCCGGCCTTGACTATCGACTCATCCCGGCTTTTTAGCGCACAATTTAACGGTTCCACTACAGAGATAGGAAACCGGGGATGGCCACTTAGATGCTCCTGCTGGGATTCTGTGTCCTTTAGTGCGGATATTTGATTGAAAGTTGACTAGTCTTCTTGAATGGCCGACGTTTTTTTTATCTCTCTACGTAAAATGTCAGCGAGCACCTGAAGCATTGAAAACTAATCTGCCAGCAGATGTTGGACGGAAAGATCGTAACATTTTCTAACGGCGCCGAACTGATAGTACCTCACCCCCGGTAGACCACCAGAGAAGCCCGTACGTCAAACGACGTTTGTCAGAAATCTTTCTACATCTACTTTGAGATTAATTTGAAACATCGGCAGTTATAAAATAAACAGCGCCCTTCGCGGAAGAATATTTCTTAATACAACTTCGCCTCTTCTTAGCCTTCGAACTGATTAATGTTAAGAAGCAACGCATGTTGTTGATAATTAACGTTAATACAATGTATATAGTGCGGTGAATGCAGACAGAATACTAGTAGTAGTATTATGCGCCCTCTTGCATCTAAAACGACGTCGCCTAGACAATCGGTACATTCTCACATTATACAGTTTCCAATTTACGTAACGTCAGTACTGGTATATAGCGTGTAGATATGATAAAAAAATTACGAAGACTGAAGACGCTGTATGCATAAAAGCAACTAAAATCATATCTATATTCATTAATTTACCACCATATGTATCCTTAGCCATGTGGCAAATACCAATGCAGGTATAAAACGTACAGAGTACAAAATGTAAAATGTATCTATTAGGCAGATGTTTTGTACAGTAATATCATACACCTTAATTCAAACGAAGCCATGCACCATATCTTAAAAACTTTAAACACGCAAAGTATTTGTCACAAACCATCAAGACACCGGGACGTCAGAAAGTACGTGTTTGAGATTAATTTGTCTTCCTTTGTTCAAATTCTTAAGATGCATTCTTGAATTAATCATCTTAAGAATTCGCGAGGTGAACAAAATGAAGACGTGAATTCCTGGATCCAACACTTAAATAGCTGTTCACGAAACACATTAAATACATCTCTTCTGATCGACAGAAGTTTACAACGTGAGTTTATGCCTCTGTAAACAGCGGTGGCTGCGGCACTTTCAAGTCCACGGGACGCAAACACAGACAAAGAATGTGATTGTAGTTGACACAACAGAACTTCGCGGTACCTGGCAACACCTAAAGTTTCTACCTTGTCACACTTTTGCAACTTTACAGCACGATGTAACCAAGCACATCTACGTGGTGAATGGTATGAAAGGAATCAGGGCTGAGCTCTGAGGGAATAAAGTGCTTCTCACGTCATCACAGCGTGAGTGAAATGTGTCGTTACGCTGGCTATGACGCACGGACTCACTAGCGATACTGCCGACGGCAAGACTTCAGAATGAGAACAGTCCAGTCTACCAGGGATTAATCTCCAAGTAGATTGTGTGAGGCGAGGGGAGTCTATATAGCCCGCCCGTACCCATTAGCCTCCTGTAACCATTGGCCGCCCCATGGATACTCCCCTTCCCCGCACAATCTGCTTGTAGATCTCGTACCATGGTCCATGGGCAAAATATGGGAGCTCTCAAGCTTGCATAATAATGTACATTGTAATGAATGACATGTACCATTGCCAATAAATACAAATACTTGTATTTCTTTTAAATAGATGGCAACCAAAAAGGAAACAATTTTAAGATTAGATCTGAGCTTGTAAAGTTTCCAATTAAGTTCAATATGGCCTACTCAACTATTATAGACACTGGTGTGATGCTTTCTAAATCAGCAAGATGTATTTTGTCGTTTTGCGAAAAAATCTAAATAATGTCCTATAGGAGACCAAGCGACTTACTAAAGAATATTAGAAACCTTGCCTAGCTACATCGCCCATGACGTCAGGCGTGAAAATGCCCTTAAATCCCACCCCAGACTGTTACTCGTGCCCGTATTGTGTAGCCTGTCAGTTCACTTGTTAATCCTTTCCCCAGAATAAACACAACAAGTACAGAGCCGGCTTGAAACACCCTTTAAGGTCGCCGTGTAGTTGCAGTTTGATATTGTGTTGTTCCACAGTGTCAGGTGTTGCTGATGTCCTTTCACTGGCCCTCTCCGCGCGCCCCGGGGCACGGGACAGCCGTAAACAACGCCGTGCAGGTGCGTCTGTCATCAGACGCCGTTCCCATGGCAACGGCCGTGCAGCGGCTCGCGGCTTTAATGCCAAAGGTTATGCAATATGTAACATCGCTGCGTTTGACATTTTCTAGAATCGCTTACCGGTTCGTTATGTAAGGGAATAAGCTGCCTGAGACGATCCTGCTCGAGACGCGAGTGTGACCGAGGAGAAGGGTAGAGGGACCTGCAAACTGCGTCTTGATATGATGTGACTCGAATGCGCGTCTTACCTGCTATGGCGGATACATTCACTTCTTCAAGGTGATCATTTGCCATAGCTGTAGGGATCGTTATTACATGTTTTGGGGTCAGCTGAATTAAACTCTAATGCTATCAGCAAAAGAGGTTACCTTGGCAAGTGTTACAGGATTTGTTTTCGGTACTAAGATGGACATTGAGACATCGTCATATTTACAGGTCTCGCGTGTTTACAATAAACCACAGTTACAACTTCTCCGTCATCCCCTACACAAACTTTGCGATGTTTTTCTGTACGCACAAAAACAACAACATCAACAAAGGAAAGACAAAGGCGAGGCGGGGTACAGCGGAGACTTAAGTCGGTGTGAATGGGATGTAAATGCCCGGCGTATCGTCTGACTTGGCAACCGGCCCGCCCGTTTTGTCCGCCTCGCCGACTCGGATAATTGTTACCTGTTAACTTACCTGGTCTTTCACTGGTGGCGGCCACTTTTCCCCGGCAATATGAAAGCCGCGGGGATGTGTTTTCAAACCAAACAAGGGGGCGAGCGCGAGAGAATACGCGGGGAGCGGCGACTTGTTAGTTTTGTTCTTTAATCTGTTTTGCACGAGATGTGGATAGTTTTTCCGAGTCTGAAAGTAATTTTTTGTCTTAACATCATCGCCATTCTACATCCTGATTACATTTTCCATAATGATGTTTGTTTTTAGACGTTGTCCTTGATAACGTCTTCTACCTCTCTTACGTTTCATGTACTTGAAGGGTTGGACTATACAACAAAAAAGGGAGAGATTACATCATATATGAAACAAGACCAGGCCAGGGATAAGAGAGACGGGTGGTCTTGGGTCAGTTCTTCAACAGAAAGAAAGACGCATGATTTTTGTATATATGATCTGACATGTTGAAAAGAGGTGCAGAAAAACGACACAGAAAAACTTCGAACGAAATACGAATACGAATAAGTTACTCAAAGTACAAAAGCATCCCACCGGTTCAAGGACCTCTTGTGATTTGGTTGGTAATATCCAAGGAGGATCTATTCAATAAAACCTCCTTGCTGTAAGAGGCAAATGACAATTCGTGTTAAGCTTTCTGCATCTTACAGCAAAACCACAGAACATCACATTTATATAATTGTATATGTACAACCGGCATTAGCTTTCCAAGTTTTATATAAAGTAGACGGGTTCAGCTCTGACTGACACAAGTTATCAAGAGAAGACCATCCCGGATACATGCTACAGAGTTTACAGCTAAAGGTCGCAGAGGTCGGTCCCTACACAGAACAAATCAGTGTAATCTTTCTGGGGTTATTCTCTGTCAAAGGAGATTTAAGCGATTTGCGATTCTCGGCTTGTCGCCCTGACTGAAAGGTTGGAGCACCGGAACACCGACACCGATGCTAAGCTACTTTTCGCTGGTGATGGACCTCGAAACGCGCAAAGCTTTTAGGCAAATACAAAAACTCTAACGTAACGGGACGGAAAGGGAGGCGATCCCAACAGGAGTGACGCACATCATGCGCTATCTTCTGCAAACGGACCTGGCGGACTAAATCTCACAATGCTCGCAATGTTTTGTGACGCACAATAATCACACTATCTTGGTCTTCATTCGTGAGAACAGTGATCATGGATCATTAGTCAACATCGTGATGATAACGCTTTTAATTTCATCATATTATTTGGAGCTTTTACATTAAATGGCATTTCCCCATGATGTGTAGTACATTTCAGTTTGCGGGATGCTTTGATTATCAATCCGAATGCCGTGAATCAAACTGGAGTAGAGGCAAGATATGCCCCTGTTTACGTGCGCCTCTAGCGGTTACCGTTTGTAGGACAGCGCTATCTTGAAATCCACAAATACTAGTATTTTTCCCATGGCATGGTTTTCACTTTAGCTTAGAGCAGACGTCATTCATGTAAGATTTGTTCCTTTACTGATCTGGTACAAATAAAGCCTGCATAGTTTACCATATTAAAGCTTCTTGTCACCCCGTTATAATCCACAAAACATGAAATAAGGAAAGAGCCATAAATCTGGAAAAAAAGCTTTCCCCCATATGCAACATCTGGTTGAAAATTACCTGCAACCAAGAGCCACGAAGAAAACCTACTTTCATGGAGGAAATCAAGTACATTTGCACGTCTACGTTTCGACTAATGTTACCCAAAGCTGACTGCAGTTTCTGTATGTCCTGTAAGAGGACGCTGATAAGAATAATACTAGTACCTGTGCAAAGACAATACCAACGCTAATAGAGGAGGGAGGCTGTAAGCAAGAACTTCTGGTCTACAAATCACAGGGGTAACCAAGACAAACCCAAGCAAATCTTTCTACGAATATTTTTTTGGATACAGAGTAGGCAAAACATCAGATTACTTATGATTCCTGTATCTATAGTTCCTGTATCTACAGAGTATTTTCTATTCGTGTCACCCCTTAGAGTCGAATGGCACGCCCGAAATGTAAGAAGGCATTCTGGGAAGCATAGTTTGTTGTCATGTTGGTTCTTCGGTTGTACTTGGCCTGAGAAAAGTTTAAAACCCATGACTAGGGAGAAACGTTACAGTTGTGACAACGACAAGACAGACAGTCAACACCGAACGTTCCAGGAATATTCCAGGTAAAACAACGAAGAGCTACTTTAACGTTACCTGGCAACGCGCCAAGCGATCAGTCCATAAGCTGCCCCCCTCCCCCATAATAACGTTACATGTTTGCAAATTTTTGTTTACATGTGGGATAACGAATGTAATCTTGCTATTAACAGATTTACTACCGCAGAAACCTTTCCTGCAGCGAGGTCGAAGATGTTTACTTGTAACGTTGCCTGTTGTTTTCTGTGCGTAGGGCGAAGTAACGATTACCAAATAATTGCATTTTATTTCTTTCCGAATATTTGGTAACAAATTTAACGTTAGAAGTCTAACTGTTTCAGTTTTCTTAAAACAGCATGAAAATTATAGTTCAGAGCTTCATAATAAAGCTTTGAACTATAATTTTCATGCTTGTTTTTATGTACCTAGCTGTATCTATTCTATATGCAATCTAGTTCTTCTTGTATTTTGATGCTAAACATTTTTTTATTTATCTTGTTTGATTTGTTATAATTTTTTTGGTTTTCACTAGTTACAGCGGGCCCAGCCTAATTGAAGATGGAACAGTACACTATTATGGAGAGGATAGGGGAGGGTGCACATGGCATCGTGTTTAAGGCCAAACATGTGGAGGTAAGTCAGCCACCTGTAGCTACTTTTTAGCAGAATATACTTTACAATACTGTCACTAACATATCACAAATGACTTTATAAACATTGGTTTTATTTGCTTACATCCATCACAAATTTTAACGGCTAACTTATTTGTCCATCTAGAGTGGTGAAGTTGTGGCGTTAAAGAAGGTTCCACTGCGGAGGCTGGAAGACGGCATCCCAAATACTGCTCTCAGGTATACAGTAAACTTCACACTTCACATAGAATACACGTATGCACTACATGAACAGTTTAATTTTGATTATTGAAAGTACTACTGAAATGCTATCCAATCGAATGCAAAATTGATAGATGTATATGGGCATAAGCTACATAGAAAGCAATCTATTTTCTACATTGTCCTTGCATATTCTAACTACTAGTAATTGTGTCATTTTCTCCTTGTACAGGGAAATAAAGGCTCTTCAAGAAATAGAGGAGAATCAGCATGTAAGTGCCTGGCTACATTACACTCTAAACTTGAACTTTAGTGGCCTGTGTTTACTCAAGCTCTCGGTTGAGAGTCAATGGTAATATTTGGGCCGGCCGGCCACTAGGAGTGCGATTTAGTCAAGCTAGAACTTTTGAACTGCAGTTTCGGCATCCAGATAGTCTGACACACGCATACCTACTGTACCTTACGTCCCGTGAATTCCTTAACTCATAATAAGGGACTGACCTAGGTGTTTTTAAATTTTCGTCTTGTATGTTTGTGAAAACTTGATAAAGATGATTTTAACCCTCTTAGCACTTCCTAAAGGTATACAACAGCTGATATTACTCCCTTTAACCTCTCCTGTAGGTGGTGAAACTGCGGGAGGTGTTCCCCCATGGTACGGGGTTCGTGCTGGTGTTTGAGTACATGTTGTCGGACCTGTCGGAGGTCCTCAGGAACTCCAACCGCCCGCTGACAGAGGCGCAGGTCAAGAGCTACATGATGATGCTGCTGAAGGGCGTGGCCTTCTGTCACGAGAACAACATCATGCACAGGGTGAGACGTCTGAGGCCTAGCAGGGCTCAAAATACTGGGTGCATGTGCACCTTAGTGCACCCGAATTTGGAGCTGTGCACCAATTCTTTTCTGTGGGTGCACCAGTGCACCCAATTATTTTCGTAGGTTTCCGTATGTAAAGATGTTAAATGTATAGTAGTATACATATTCTTAACATCGAAGTGTCAGAAAAATAATAAAAACATAGTTATCATACAATGTACTTTTCTTTCAAAATGAGACATAATTAGTTTTTGCTGACATTCTACTTATTTTATCTTATTTGGTGCACCCAAAATTTTTTGTGCACCCATTTTTTTAGGTTTCCCAAAAATGAATTTCGAGCCCTGCCTAGGAAAAAATGTTGCAGGCCTAGGATAATCCCTACCTACCGACAATACTTTTTTCAGGACTAAAACAGGAAACACAACATTTTTTTTCCTAGGCCTTAGGGTTGTTGACTCAGAAACTGAAGGATCTGGGTTCAAATCCCTAGCAGGCCTCAATGTTGTGTCATTGGGAACGGTACAAATTTTACAGCTGTTTCCTCATTCGAATCAGCAAAAAATGAGTACTTAGCTTCAGTTAGGGACGTCCTCTTGGATGGGACGTAAAGCTAGAGGACCCACATTTCAGGAGAGGCACACCTCAAGCACATTAAAGATCCCTCCTGACCACACTTACTGAAAAGAGTAGGGGTCCTTCCCAGTGCGAGTGGTTTAAACCTTTACAGTCCAGTCTTACACAGTGCACTGAGCTTTGTCCTTTTCTGTGCTGACTTTCTAGGACTTGAAGCCAGCTAACCTCCTGATCAGTGAGACTGGCCACCTGAAGATCGCTGACTTTGGTCTGGCACGGGTGTTCGCTAATGAAGATGGGAGACTATACAGTCACCAGGTGGCCACAAGGTACATACAACATGTATTTCAACCCTTCTTTTACGGCCTCTTTTATCATAGGCCCTTTTGTGTATACTTTTGTTTTGTTTGTACATGTGTTGTTCCATTTGTCTTTAGAATCAAATATTTTGGTGTCTGAAGAGACTGCATGGGTGATTTCATTTTTAACGGCTTTTGACACATATCGTTGATTGCTAAGAACTTCTATTTTGTGAACGTGTTGCCATTTGGACTTCAAAGGAAATGTTGTTTACCTTATCTTATTTTTTCATGTCACATCAAAAGGTGGTACCGGGCCCCAGAATTGCTGTATGGAGCAAGAAAGTATGAAGAAGGTGTTGATCTTTGGTGAGCATTTCTATCACACATACTGCAGCTGCTAAGTGTAATGTGTAGCTGTGTTATTAACTTTGGTAGATTGGTAACTTTGCCCATCTTTATATATCCTGTCTTGTTTAAGTCTTTAAAAAAATGAAAATCTTTTTGGCATCAAAATGGCAACAAGTTTATATTCTTACTGATATAGAGTAAGGCTATTGCAGAACAGTGGACATGCCAAGTACATGTTGTATGTACATGTACAATCTGCTAATGTGGAAAATATATAATGTTATACATGTGTATCGACTTTCTCTGTTTTGTTTGTTCTTTTTTCCTACAGGGCTGTTGGATGTATCTTTGGAGAACTGTTGAACAACTCCCCTCTATTTCCTGTAAGGCTTTTTGTTTCGTCCCATCAATACTTAAGATTAAAACATTACGTTATTAGACTAACACATCCCAATTGGAAGACCGTAGTTAATTTTAGTGACTGTTTATGATCTCAAACTACATGTATTTGAAATCTTTGAAAGATATATCTGTTTTCATTAGTCATTTTATTTTTATTTGATTGTAAATGTGAATATCTTTATTTTGCCTTTTGTGTCTTTTCACTCAGGGTGAGAATGATATAGAACAGCTATGTTGTGTACTGAGAGTGCTGGGAACTCCCAATGAAAAAATATGGCCGGTGAGTCATCTCATCTTGTACATTTTTAGTATATATTTAGAAATATATAACTAACATCAGTTTTATCTCAAACTGCCCATATCTATACTGATGAGAGAAGGGAACTTTTAAAAAGAGGCGAACAGACAAAAACATTACAGAGAAGGTGGTTAACCCCTTTCATGTTGTTTGCAATTAGCTGTCAGACAAGCATTTTGCTTATTAATAACTTAGCCTTCATCACCTAAAGAAGTGATGGGTGTTATCTATCAATTGATTAGTCAGTCAGAGTTTGCTATGAAAACTACAGTCATTGTTCAATTCTATATTTGTGAGTAAGGTCACGTGTCTGTTTTGAAGTGATTGGTCATAAATAATCCTGATGAAGGCAACAGTGGTTGTTGAAAATTTGCTCTCTGTGTAATCTTTGGGTTGGAATAAAGTTCAACGTTTTACTATGATTACTACCTACACTAAATGAACTTTCATGATACATTGTCCAAATTTAATTCTTTCCCCCTATTCTCAGGGCATGTCAGAGTTACCAGACTACAATAAGATCACCTTCCCAGAGAATCCCCCCATCCCCCTGGAGGTGGTAGTGCCCGACGCCTCCCCCCAGGCCATTGATCTGCTGAAGAGGTTTCTAGTCTACCCCTCCAGTCAGAGGGTGTCAGCAAAGGAGGTCTGTTTGTTATATATTGTATCGTTTAACCAGAATTTGGCTGAAATGAGTGGAAGAGTTTATGTGACAAGTCATGACTGTGTTCGAAGATCCAAATTCTACAGTCCAGAGTTGGTGATTCACTAATAGATCACCCGGCCGGAAGCCTGGCACTAGTTGGGCAGCCTTGGCTGTATCTTCAACCAAAACAAATAAAGAGTTAGTTTTACAAATAATTATTGGGTCTTGAGGTTGATGACTTTGTAAAAATGCATAAATGCTACCAATGTTTGTATATACATGTACAAAAATGTATACTGGTTTGGGACCTCTTTTGTTTTCATTTGATACTTTTTAGCTAGCAATCAATATACTCTGATTGATAAGTAAACCTATCTTATAGCCCCAAGAACCTTCACATGTAAAATAAAAATGCAACTGTTTTAGTCACATGCAGCCACTCTCTCATTTCTTGAACTGCTGATTGCTATCCTCTCATTAGTTCATTGTCATTAGTTAATTTTCTATTAAAGCTGTAAATGTTGACATCTGCATCTCTCCACAGGCCCTACTGCATCCGTACTTCTTCACTGAGCCGTTACCAGCGCACCACTCAGAGCTGCCCATCCCACAGCGTAGCAGCAAGAGACACCGGCAGCGCGGACATGTGCACGAGTTTGACGTGGACGCTCCGCTGGCACAGTCACTCGTGGATCCAGACCTACTCGCCCCGCATGTTAGATAGGCTCTTCATTCTGTTGTTGTAAGCATGTCGGCAGAACGTGCTGCACCTGTAAAACCCATAATGTATTGTGCATAGCACTTATCGTTAGGCAGAACATCTCTTATAAGGTTGTATTTGTGCATATACCGGGGTAAGGTTGATATCTCGTCTATAGTTTCCAAATGTTATTTTGGAAAAGATGTCCTCTGCAACAGGCAAAATTCTAATGCAAGGTGACCAAACATCCAATGTAAATCATGAAAAATCAGGGTTTTGCGCAGGCGCAGTACGTTCTGCCTACGTGCTGTTGTTGTACGTATTGATATAATGTATGCCTATGGCTATACACATGGACTCTTTGTATACTAGTATATTAGATTCATATACTTTCACATTGGTTTTTAGTTTTAAGTAGGAAGGAAAAGAGTGGATTTTGTAGAGTTTTATACATGTATTTGAGGTTGAGCTAATTTATTGTACAGAAGTACATGTACATGTAATTGGAAATGCGTATTTGAGAGGCCACTGGAAGTCTGCAAATATAACACCACTGTAAAAGTTTACAGATTCACAGTAGTTGCAAGGGAATTAGGAACTGCTTTCTAAACACTTGCTAAATATGCATTGATGTAAATATACTCTTAAAATATCATTGTGATTTCAAAGTGAATCAGTTTTTGTTGATTCTGTGAGATGTTAGAAACTCGAGCCATTAGTTTCAGCCTTCTTCATCAGACTTTATTCACACGTGGATTGTAAAACATTGTGAAAAGAATGATAGAATCTAAACAATATAGATTAGCCAGATTAAGTGTATAAGAATACAAAGGCTTAACGGTCTTGTATGAAATAAAGATTTGTGGTAGATATTACATACCAGAAGTGATCTTGTTTTGAAAGTTAAAAGAACGTTAAAAATGTACACAAAAATCCTTTTTTTTTTCATGCCAGCTTTGTCCAGATTTTTCACTGCAAAGTTGTGAAAATGCACAATCATACACATTGCATCACACAGTAACTTGCAATCATTTGCTGATTTTGATATATCCTTCTCTAACACAATGAAAGAAATAAAACTTCACTTTGCACTGGTCGCAGCAACAAACTCATACGGGAAGCAAAGCACACAAAATATCAAATTTACACTGGCAAACAGTTACACTTGTATTCTAGCATTTGAATTAACACACAAACATATCAAAGGAAGTTTGTTACTCCAGAAAAGGAAAACTGACTCAAGATGTAATCACACTACAAAAATAGACACTGGTACAACATATATAATTCACTGTGTATATCACAGTCAAAATTTGGAAGATGAAAATATCAAGTATGATTCACTGCACTGACTAGATGTTTGATGAAAAAGCAATGACACATTCAAAACCTTGGAAAAGTCCAGACCAGAAAGGATCAGAGGAGAGAGAAAGTACTGGTAGTGCTGTGTAATACATGTAGTAGTGTCCAGCATTTAAGTAGAGGGTGAAGCTGTGCTGAGAAAATTATCAAAAAGAAAACGTAGACAAAAAAAATGAGAATAGACCGATCCCGTAGCCTGCCCTCCTCCGTCAAAATGTAAAATAAAAAAGCAAACATCACTGGTTGATCTGCTAATAATGGTGACGGACAGTCAGGATTGGTCTATTTGTATAAACTTGATCCTCCCTGGTCTGCCTCTAGTGTATGTTTGACAGGACAGGACTTCACACCGCCATGCAATCACTCTGCCTTCTTTGACTTAGGCCTGCAGCAACAAAAGACGGAAATTTCTGTAAGTTTAACAGTATCTGCGAAATGATGCATAAGTCTAGCCCAAACTAAAGCACAGCAAAAACAAACTTGAAGGCAGTGCAGTTAGAAAGCTCAATAATTAGTGAGTCATGAATATTAAAAATGCGTACTAGCTACTTGTCATTATCAAAACTGTCATGCATGCATTATCATTTTCATTTGATTTAAACAATCACATTATGTGGGGAAATGAAATGAAATGTTAATTTAAATGTGCAGGACATTATTTTAGGAATAGAATGTGATGTAAGTTGTTAGATGATGGTTATTCGTGGTGAAAAATGGGATGAGAATAAATCACTTCTACTCACTTTGTAGCATTAATAGCATGCAGCAAGCAGGTATTGCGATCCATGCAAGCATCCAGAAAAGCATCCAGTGTCAAATTTAAGATGTTATTCATGACAAATCATTTATGAAGGAGGGTGTGACTTGGCGGAACAATCAAAAGTCATGGTCAAAGTGTTGTCTACAACAGTTTATTCATTTCATTGCTGTCCACTTTCTGTAAGGGCCCAGTCACATACGTTGTGCGATCATTGTACGATTTCGAACCGAGGGCGTTTTTCTGACGGTCGCGCATGTGACTTACACATTTCAACTGTCTTGTCATGTAAAAGGCTGTCTTAGATTCTCGTCAACTGTTGTTTCTGTCACAGCCTGCTTGGAAATGCCACAGCATCAAAATCATGCAACAACCCACAACGAATGTGACCGCGTCATAACCCGCACAAATGTAATTCAATGTCCGCTTTGCTGCCTTTTTTCAAGTTCAACAGATGTAGAAAGGGAAATGTGTTCTAGCGAAGGTTTGACCAATGCTTTGTAACTATACAATAACATCATAACGTTTGAATTCTAACTGAAATAGGCATAAAAGAATTGTATGGGAGTAATTAGACATTTCTGCAGGTTAAAAACAAAAGGAAAGGTTAACAAATGTGTAGGAGTTTAAATTGTGCGAATTGTTATAAGCTTTCCACATACACACAGTCCATTTTGGTGCTGTCTGCATTTTTTTTTACCCAAATCAAAAAGAAAAAAATGGAGGGTGATCTCATAATGACTAGACAACTTGATTTAAAACTTTTCAATTACATTACACATAATAAACTTACCATAAAACCAAATATACACACTGCTTCGGACGTAACGTATATAACTGTCTTCACAAAAACTGTGACTTCTGCATATCATAACAACTCAACGTTGCTCAATATATACATATCTCCTGGAGACAGAAGGAAATTAAAATCTCTATACACCTTACTGCCCTGAGGTCTTCATTAAGTATCGTAGCTACACACACACGCGCTACAACTACCTGCACCGAAGGCCTATGCCTGAGGCGTTACCAAAAAATCGCCTAATAAGGTTGCAAATAGTAATCTCCAAGCAGATCCTATGGTGGCAAGACAGTATCCATTGGCCAGAGGAGTGACCTAGTGGATACTGTCTTGCCACCATAGCATATGCTTGGAGGTTAGCAAATATATAGGCTTCCTTAGACCCCCCATCCCCAACTTCAAGAAAAATACGTAAAAGGTAAATCAGGTCTTCACTAAAGGAGGATCTAGGAAAAGATATCAACTTATTCATTTGTGACCGACTGATCATTCCCTGACTTCATTGCAAATCTATTTAACCTTCTCCCTGCTACATGTATAACCTCTTGGCACCAAAATTGGTTAAAGGATTAGGCAGCAGGTAGGAGGTTAAACTGGCCCGGTTTTCTACCATCGTACCCTAAATCGTTGCAGCTCAGCTGCATGTTATACATATCATTTAAAATGACAACTAATACCTGTATACAATTCTTCTATCATGATACCAACAATATGTTACATACAGACTTTTCCACAGTTTTCAGAAGTTTTTCCTTTTAAACCCACCATATTCTGATACACATTTAGCTCTCTTCTTCCCACTGGAATACTATAATTTTAGATACATGTAATACGGTGATTGTCAACAGACATCATGATTCACTTTATCGAAAAGAAAAAAATTAGTTCATAATTCTAAAATTCCAAACTTGTAAATTTTGAATGTCCTTCTGTCAGTGAGGGACCTAAAAAGAAGAATAGAACTAAAGAAGACCATGAAAAGAGCTATGCTTTTGAAAACAACAATGAAACAGTGAGCGTTTTGCTGATTTATAGTTATCAGTTAACACTACACATAGCTTGGAAATTCAATTCAGTTCCCTAAATTACCTGTTTGTCTTTCTTAACTCAAATACTTCAATTGAGTATTTATAAATACGTAATTCCCTGGAATGATGATGATAATGATGAAATGCCAATCCAAATTTAATTCATCGCTGCATATATTTACAATCATTGAAAGCATAAAAGATGGATGTGTGTTGCTGTAGCAATAGACATGATTTTCTTGATTTCCTAAAAAGCATTTTTACTCTCCAGTGATTCGAAGCACCCACAATAAAAAGGCACACTCACAATTTGTAAGAAATTGCCATTTCAATCAATGTGATCAATCAAGATAGATACAAATAGCACATCGGCAGAACGTACTGCACCTGCACGAAACCTGTAATGTATTGTGCATAGCACTGCGGCAGAACGTCTCATATACATGTAAGGTTGTATTCACGCATATAAGGTTAACATCTAGTCTGTAGTTTCCAAATACTGTGTTGGAAAAGATGTCCTCTGCAACAGGCAAAATTCTGATGTTGACCATCCAACGAAAAAAACAGGGTTCTGCACAGGCGCATTACATTCTGCCGACATGCTGATACATGTATGTTAATAGTCTTTGCTCCATTATGACACACAAAACCTTCAAAAGAAAAAACACGATCACCCAGTTTCAGATATCTTGGTCGGGAGGCCCTTCTGTCCGTCATGGTTTGTAACAGTCGGTCGCGAAGGACGGCCATACAGGTAGATGGAAAAGATGACTAACGATGCTCCGAAGGCGAACTGTGCCGTGATGTGGAAGCTGAAGAGGTACACCGACGCGATGCACGAGAGAATGATGGAGAAGGAAGTGGCAAAGCCTTTGAGGATGTTGTCTGCGTACTTGACAACCACTGCGACCAAGAGGCCGCCGAAAGCCTGCATGCACACCGTCATCCACGTCACCCAGTTGTAGGCGTAAAAGAAGCCCTTTTCGGAGACGCCGGCCCCGTCTTTTGTCCACATGGACACCAGTCCAAGGAGGATGCTGAAAAAGGCCAGCTGGATGTTTCGGATCCAGACCGACGCCACTGAACCTTTCAGGACTTTCTCGAAAAACACCCCAGCAAAGCCGGAGGATATACACGACACGACCACAGCAATCAACCCAAGGAGAGGGTTCTGTTCGGTTTCTACTTTCTCCCCCGTCGCCTTTCCAGAGCTGGTGGCGCCGGTAGACTCCAGCTGGACGGCAGAGACGCCGGCAAACAGCAGGAACAGCGAGACCCACTGCAGACGGCTGATGCTCTTCCCCAGCATCACGATGGAGAACAGGGCTGTGGTCATGATCTTTAACTGGTAGGTCACCTGGAAACATATTTTTTCAAATATAAGACCACAGTTCTGTCATTAGAAAACAACATGCTTATGAAAGTATCACCTTTTCAAATGTATTTTCCAATTCATTTATGAAAAATAAACAAGTATCTAACTTTTCGAACAAATTTCCCAACATTATAAACAGACTTCCTTTTACTACAAAAAAATGTATGCATGTAACAGGAATGTTTCTCAAATATTTCTGGAACACACCCGAAAATAAAGAATGTAAATAACCCAGTTCTAGCTCATAAAATCAAAGGGCTGTGTCTTCTACTGAACACACCCACCTGGAAAGTTGCAGCAGACAGGTTGGAAATGGCCACATAAGCCAGGTTATTTTGCAGGGTGTAAACAAGTGCAGGAACAGCCATCTTTAAACTATCCATGGGATTCTGGAACAGCCTGTAAAGGGATATAAAATCATGGTCACAATCATGAAACTATGTGGTGGACAAGAACATGTGCATGATGAAGTAGCCATGATTGTTGAGCAAGATTTACATTTCACATTAATGAGAGATGAACTTTGATGCAAAGATCACAATTTCCAACCCATGGACAAGCCAGGCAGTTTATGGAATTTAACGAAAAGGATGATATAAAAGACAGAATAAACACAAGAAGGCTTACCAAAAACATAATAATGAGCACTATCTGTGCAGATTTTTTCAATCAAACCCAACCAGTCCAGGTTTAGAAATTTGACCACCTTGGGACAGAACAACCACCTGTTTCATTACCCATCCATAAAAGTGTGGGTCCAAATCACATTGTAGGAGGCCCCTACAATCAAACAGCCAAGTGAGAACTATGTACCACTAATACTTACTCTGTGTAGAGGTGCCCGGTACAGGCCCTGAAGCCCATGTACTGACACATGATGATGATGATGAGGACACAGCAAAGCAGTTTCAATAATGTACAAACTTTGCCCAGTATTTATGTAGATGTAGCTGTAAACTTTAGCTTGTTTCTTGGTTATCAAAGACCCTTTAAGCCCCTGATATATAGAGTAATACACCACTAGTACTCACTCTTCATACAGGTGCTGGGTACAGGCCCTGAAGCCCACATACTGACACATGATGATGAGGACACAGCCCAGCAGTTTGAACACCTCCGCCATCACCACTGCGGTCGTGGAGAAGAACATGTCTCCGGGCATGGTGCGGGCGTAGCGCATCGTCAGGATCAGAGAGGCGTTCTGGACAACCAGGATCACCAGGCTGATGTACTTCATCTTGGCAGCAAAGCCTGGAGACACACAAGCACAAAGTTAGATCAGGAAATACAAGTATTCATGTGAGCATTATGAGCTCTGCATTCCCACATGCAGTTTGCAGAAAAAATATTCCGATTGCAGGCAATAATGAATACATCTTGAATGAGTTAACTGCATGGATTATCTATTTCGCACACACAAGAAAATAGGAAGTTTCTAAGCTTCCTGCCCTTCTATAGCTACATGTAGGTGCCCACCCCAATGCAGAGAGTTGAGATATTTGCCATGTAATTCATTCCAGTGTGGAAGTAGGCTACTTGCCAAGTGTGTGATGTAGACTCGACTAGGGGTTTGGCAAACTTTAAGGAGTGGTCTTTATTTCCATCTTACATACAGGGGGGTCAAACCTTATATGTGGGCCCGCAAGCCCTTTTCCGTAGAGCGTAATCAGCCGTTTTAATTCTACGTAGAGCGTAGACGGACCGCTCTAATATTTTTGCGTAAAGTGTATTCAGCATTTTAATTCTACGTAATGCGTTGTAGCCACATGGAATTTATCGTAAAGCGCAATCGAGAGGTTTCCGAATTCAGCGTAGAGCGTTGTCGGGACCCCCCCTTGCAGGCCCTCATATATGTCTTTAGGGCATTTAGACTGTAGGAAGTGCAAAATGATTCTACAATCTCTTACTTGGACCTGTGTTTTGATTGTGATGATAAATGTTAGGTGAGTCAAGGTCAACTTTGCCACTTTGTCTCATATTACTAGTATACTGCAGACATTATCTCTCTGGTGTTGTTTTCAGCTAAAAGCAGCGAAGTCTAAGAGAATAACAGAATCAGACCACAGCCTTTAAAATCCTTTCTTTGTTAACCAAAAGGCCTCAGGATATACCAAAAAATTAACATAGTTTTCATAATTTGCCATATTACTGGCCTTCTGATATGAGAAGCCTCTTACAGTTGAGTATCTTTCAGCACTATATTTTGCTGTCCAGTTATAAAATGTTACATATGCAAGAATTTCCACTTTGTAACTAGTCTATTGTAAACTGTTTTTATTTGAATGCCTACATTTATTAGGACTTAAAATGATGTAATCTGTATCTTCGTTAGATATTTTGTCTGACCCTTACATCTTCGAAATTCCCTTGCAAGTTGAAAAGCTTCTCATGAATATTAAATGTTCAAACAAACCTAATTGTCACACTTCAGTTGGTCAGTGTAAAAGGTTAAACTCATTACAAGCATATACTTGTGCTAACTTACTTTGTTGGTTACTGTGCTTACTAGATACTTTGAAATGTTGACTGAGCAAAGTATAAGAAATTAACTCCTAAAACACTATTTGACTTTATACACTAGCATAAAATATTTATCTCTTTTACATATTAGCATACACAAACCATGGTGAATACAATGTAATACTAGTACTCGTCGAGCAGCATTGTAAAGAGTACTAATTAAGTCTTGTTTATCTCTTAGTAGTATATCCTCAAGAAAAATGACAAAAAACAAATACCTTTGCTGTAACAAAATGAAGAAAGTGCAGAGAAAATCCTCATTTTTGTCACAGACAACTGCCAAGTCTTCCATTAAAACAGACTAATACATTTCGAGGTCATTCGGGGGGAGTAGGCCTGGTTTGCAGTCGTCATAACGAGGTCACCTATTGTGTTCAGCCTACGTCAAACTTCATTTCTGATGTAAGGAAACTCGACCTCATTTACGGGTCAGAGTTCAGCTGTAACAGAGCTGCACTATAAGCTGCAGGTGTTGCACTATAAGTCTTACACCTCCAGTTTCACCCACTTTTTACTTTATCTTTTTATCATAGTGGGCACAATATACATGTAGGTTTTATAAATGTATTGAAAAGCCTATTATACACTATATATGTAGGTTTTATAAAAGCATTTAAAAGCCTGTTTATCATTCACTATATACAGAGCTGCGTTGCACTATAAGCAATAAAAATATTATGTCGCCAGTTTGATATTCTTAACTTCACCTTTTTATCATGGCGTAATACAGTATTTATAAAAGCATTTAAAAGCCTGTTTATTGTGCACTATCAAGTATGTACTGCAGCTTTCATAAAAGAAATTAAAAGGATTTTAGTTAGGCAAATTCTTGCAGATGCTGTCTGTAGGAGAAAGACAATTTAGAAGCCAAGACCACCTTTGTACAGAGACTCTCAGAGTCTGCAGCAGCAAAAACAGGATACCCAAAACCACCACCAACAAGTTTGATAAGTGAACAGACCTGTGCTCAATCCCCCCAGTTTTTCCCATAGATTTGATGCCACCCGACATGACAGACACTTCACCGATTGCACCAAATCTAACAAGCTGCCTTCAGTAGTGCTGGAATCCTCTGTGAAATAGTTTAAAGGTGTTACGTTGATGAACGTTAGAGTCATCTAGGTAAAGAGAAATACAGAAAATTCTTACTCAGGGAACTGGATAGATTTTGAAAACTGTCAGTCACTGATTAAGGGGGCACACCCCAGTTTATTTGGCGTTTCTATTCGAAGCTGCACACCCTCAAATCTAGCGACCGTCTCTGCCGTCGAGTAGTTTGGAAGGATATCCCTTCAGCTACAAGACCAGCTGAGTTTGGTTTCTTCAACCTTTTTAAGTTTTGTAAAATCAACAGAAAAAAACATTATTTTCACTCCAAAATTAATGCACAAAATTGCGAATTTTCACGTAGGATAATCCCATAGAAAAAAATTTTCCGGCAGAAATGACTGATGCTGGCAGAAAGACCCAAACCTTGACTATACCCGAGTAAATTATAAAGAAAATTCTAGCACTGTAATTTTTTTAATCGTCCACAGCGCGAGGGGTGGCAAATCCGCTACTAGGAAGGCGCAGAGCGAAATCTAGGTCAAACGGGCGGATTACACTTGGCGCGCAAGGGTACCCGGAAGTAAGGTTCGGAGCGAAAAAAAATTTTTACCCCAAAATCACCATTTCTTACACTCTTCAGCCATGTTAATGTTTAATGATATTTCATGGCAGTTTATGAGAAATGTCACCTCAAACTTGGACCCTCAAAACCCTTTCGTCACTTTTTTACCACGGACTATCGTGGACCCCTGTCGCGGAAGAACTGGTGTGTGCACCGTTAAAAGTAGTAGATGCTACCTCAAACATCTGACAGTTTTCAAAGTCTATCCAGTTGCTTGAGTAACAATTTTCTTGTCTTCTTTTTAGACATTTACTATATTGTATAATGTCGTTGCCCATTTTGTTTGAAAGACTGCTGAGCAAACTGATGTAGATGCTGTGTTGTGTTGTAGTATGGCTGAAAGTTATTCTGGGAAGCAACCAAAATAATAATTATGGTGAAACTGGTGCCCCTGGTGAGACACATTTATTTTTAATAGGACATTTAAGTACATTTGCCTTTCAACTGTTAACATTGCAGTAGAGTAAAACAGGGTATTCGGACTTAGCTGCCCTGCCCGGTCCACCTAAACCGCTGCCCGGTCCGGTCCGAGGCCGCTAATGGGGGTTTTGCGTATCCCATGCGCCGGAGCAAGCATTTCGCTTTTTCTGCGTGCGGTTGCGCCCCCTAGCGCCCCCTAGCGGAAAGCACCGGAAATGCAACAGTACACACAGTTCACCCAATAAAATCTACTCCTTGTCAGCATCAAGTGCGTCCCAATTATGTTTTTTTTTTCACCAACTATTTACCCACTGATATTTCCACTGCAGAGTACTTAGTATGTCAATATGAGTTTGCCTTGAGAAGGATATTTACTTCCATTTAACAAAACAATTTTAGCATTTAGCAAAATTGCTCCACTTTCCAAGCAGAGATTTGTTTCTGGGGAAGATCGTCATATTTTTATAACTTATATATACATATATGCCGCTATGCCGCTAGTCGCAACCTGAAAGGACAAGGGGAGGAGTACTTCTTTGAGAAATGTGTTGAGGTCCCTCCCCGTGCCCTATTTTCCGTAATCTGTGAACAAGGGTGTCCAGCGCGCGCGCTGCTGCGGGACGAATCCAGTCAACCACGCATATCTCATTAGCATATCTCCATCTGACCGAACAGCATCACAACGTAGCAGATTATAAAAAAGTCATGTTTACTTATATAGTCAGTGTATAGACGTTCAAAATCAATACAATAAAGAATGAATTTGGTTTTCAAAATATTATATTATGTTTTATATTACCTTTACAAACATTTATAGATTTTGAGTTTTTCTTGTCATTATTTCCTTCTTACTTTTATGTTTGGATGCGATGCATTGTATCCTTCTGTTCGCGCCATACTTGTTTACAAAAGGACTGCCGATATTTTCTGATGTGTCATGTGAATAAAAAAAAATTTTGAGCCATAGCTGTAGATGCCTAGGCCAATTCTAATTCATAAGCGTCAGTCCGCCTTTACAATAAATCAAGGTTATAATCAAGAAAGACACAAAGAACTGCGAAACGATTTGAAGAAAATCGGTGAACTGAACAAAAGAAATACATAAACAAAAAATTAGCGACCTTACGCTAACGTATTCAAACATGTATTTCAATGCCGACATGCCGATTGAGTCGCCACAGCAGGATAGAAAAAAGCGACACATACTGTATATCGATGCTATTCATCGCTGAACTGTTTATTGTATTTGGAATAATGGAGTATCAATATCCGAGCATACTATTTGACAGACAAGAGGCAAAAATGTGTTGTTATTCGAGCCATATACGTTGGTATGTAACCTTTTTAGCCTTATTGGTGCCTAGGTATGAAAACCCACCCCAGAAGTCCGTCGCTGCAAGGTCGTGTACTAGTGTGGGTCATCATCTGACAAGGCCCTTCCCGGAGACAGGTTGCCATGCGGCCTGGTGGTTGCTATGCCATGACTGACAGCGGTGTGTCTTTGATTTCCTCATAGTTCTTCCAGTGGGCGTGGTCAATTCTCACTACGCATTGTTTGTTGTTTTTCATGCCTCCGTTCACGTGTGTTTCATATACGCGGGAAAATGGCGTGTAGAACGCCGAGGAAGGAGTGTATTGAAATTTTTCTCTCCACCGAACTTCCCCAAAATATCTGTGGGAAAGACTGCGACGTTAACTCTTGTATACATAGGAGGAACATTCTTGCAGGTCTTACTAGTGCTGGCTTCAAGCCATTGAACGTTTGATGTGGGGCAAGGAGGTTTAAAAGCACTTTGAGTGGGGCGCCTCTTTGAGCGCCGGCGACAAGAGCTTGAACATGTACACCTCAAAGAAATCCAAGCTTGGTGGCGCGCTGTGTTAAAAAAAGGCCGCAAGTTAGATAGACAGAGATATACTTTGATAAAACATGAATCTGAAAGGCTTGAAAGACTGCAATAATATCAAACACGGTTATATTGCAACAAGAATCTTAACCTCACGTCATCTTAGTTATGTAAAAAAATATGGACTTCAAAGTTACTAGTATGCAGTGAATATATAAGCAATTTTCTTAGCCATTCATAGCATCTAACCACACATTCGAAGAAGTTACCAATTAATTATATTTTAACACTACAAAATCTAAGGCAATTTAAAAAAGAAACTTACAATAAATATGAATGGATTTTATTACAATGTTGCCGAAAAAATACATTTTCCGTGCACTTGCTATATCGTTTTAACGAGTTGTAATATCCACGACATATGGATGCCATCTTTCTGACCTTTGCCCTTTGTTTTCCAATAAGGACCGTCAACGCGTCGCCATTTCGAGAGTGTTTCTAGCTGTTTTTAACATTTTACGGCCTCAAAGTTCATACCACAAGGGAAAGAATGTTATGCTTGTCATTTTCATTCGTATCACTTCTTCTGGCAACGAATCATTTTCCCGCCGCACTGCCGATACTAGCGTGCACGTGTTTTTTTTATCTTATTTGGTGATCGTCCCGCTTTGCTTGACGATGTAAACAGAGCTAGAGGTAGTCGAAGTTATTTACATTACATGAAAATTGCGTTGTAAAACACCAGTGGGATGTCTGATTTTCTACCATTGACAATGTTTTCTTTGTGGCGTCATAGCGAGATCGACAATTCATCGACTGTGCAGACAATAGGGACCAATTTATTAATAGCAGCTCAATCGATCCACGCCGCTCGGCCGAAGAAAAAGCGAATGACTAGCAAATCTACCGGGGAAATATGGGAGTTAATTCCCTAATTTGGAAAATTGGTGGCGCTGAGATAAGGACTGGGTGGCGCAGCGCCACTTCCCCATCGTGGAGGTCCCTGCAGCGCGCGGGGTATGTTTTTAATGATTACCACCAATAGTCTTACAAGCAATGCAAAAAGAATTATACATTTATACCACGTGGCACTGAGGTAAATATAATTATACGGGTTCAAAATTGTAATTGCAAATAGTTGGTGAAAAAAAAAACATAATTGGGACGCACTTGATGCTGACAAGGAGTAGATTTTATTGTGTGTACTGTTGCATTTCCGGTGCTTTCCGCTAGGGGGCGCAACCGCACTCAGAAAAAGAGAAATGCTTGGATACGCAAAACCCCCATTAGCGGCCTCGGACCGGACCGGGCAGCGGTTTAGGTGGACCGGGCAGGGCAGCTAAGTCCGAATACCCGAGTAAAACAAACTAGTAGTACAACGAAATAGGGATCTATTGACTTGATTTAACATAGCTATGCAATGCCTGTATGAAGCAAACCACTTCACATGTACACGTCATGAATACATTGAATCACCACCAAAGCTACCTGCATGCTACTACAAAAGCAGACTTGTACCAGCTGCTACAACACAAACACAGGCAACACCACACTCTGTACAGACAGGAGAGTACAATACTTTAGTCCAGAACAAAAGGGGTTTAAAATGCTCTTTCATGTACAGGTGGTTTTCAAACCAACATAAACATTGAAGAGGTATACTTTATTATAATAGCCCACAATAAAATAACAGGCCAAAGAATCTTGATAGCACCATTGGTACTCCAAAAGGTCAGGACCCATTGGAATGGATCAGTTAGTGGTACTTGAACCCCACTGTTACACTTAGGCCACACCAAGTAAATTTTATGGATGACATCCGCGCGCGCATTGATTTTGGCCTGTTCCTAGAAAAAAAAACAAGAAATTCCGCTTCCTGTAACTATGACCAAAGAGTCACGACAGTGCTGCAAATCGTTAGATTGACGTGAAACCCGTAACGCGAAAAGGGTAAAGAGCAAAAATGTGATGAAAGAAACAGGACAGGACAACAACTGCTGTTCCACATGATTTATTGCTATTTTGATGATGAATGAAAGACTTCTTGCTTGTTACACTGTCACCACATTCAATTTGTGTCCTAACATTTGACGTCTCTTAGTATATTTCTAATCTAGGAATCTTGTTTTTTAGGGCCCTTCTTGTTTTTTTTTCGCCCTCTCGCATTAGATTTAGGGTCTCTAAAGGATGTCATCCATAAAATTTACTTGGTGTGGCCTTATCTCCATTACAGCTTCAATAAATTATAGGTTCTTGTATTGCTGTTTTGTTATGTGGTAAAAGAGAAGTAGTACAAGTAGTAGTACTCCGGTAGTACTAGTTACAGCAACTGCAGATATTGCTTATTTGAAGAAAAATATACTGTATTAGCTCTTTATATTTAGTGATTAAAATAAACTTAAGTATGTTGATTTTCGTTCTATACCCTTTTCTTTCTTGTAATATGTTTAATAGTCGTTGCCATACATTGTAACACGCACATTGTCATGCAATAAACTTATAAAGTTCTTCTTTAAAGAAAAAGTAGTGAGTTGTATCTTGAGTAGTGTTGTCATAAGAAAGTTGACTAAGTATGGATTTCTATCATTTACGACTTAGAACTTTGTTTTTTCCCCTCTTTAAGTTTTGAGTCATTTGCTACATATTTATGACTAAGGTTCTAATGTGTTTTAAGGTGTACATAGCAAATCTGTCCACATTCTTGAAGATACTGATACTGTAATTCCCATTATGTTCATGGTAGCAAAATTTCACGGTCTGAGTAAAATGGAGGTGTTCATGGTGGTGGCAGGTGCAGGAAAAAGAAGGTCAGTGATTGATTTGTTAGCAATAATATTATAATGATAAGTTTGTGGTACAGAAGTGACCGCAAAAACTGTGAACATAAAAGTACAATGAAAAAATCAGGAATTACAGTAAGACAAAAGAGGCAAACAACACAAAATAAGCACATTAAACCTCTTGTGAGCAGCCCTGCATGAGCCGTTGTTATCTACTCATCAATAGTTGACATGTTAAACAAACACTTAAATAAGTGTAACATTAACAGGATACAGGTTTCACTATATGTAGTGTGTGTGTTACAAAAATATTCCTTTGTATGTACTCGTTGTAATTTTATTTATTTATTTCAAATGCGAACAGCACATTACACAGACTTACAGGCAGCAAGGCTGATATACGTGAGACAACATAGGGAACAACGATTAACATTACATATGATATATACACAGTTACACTCGCTGTAAACTATAACGTTAACCTTGGTACATCCTTGACTAGCATGAAACATGGGCAGGCTGTTCTAACATCGAGGGCCTACACAAGCCAGATCCTTTAGGGTACGGAGCTGAAGAGCTGGCCTGTGTAGACCCTGGAGACTGTGTGGCTTCCAGGCTAAACCTTTACGATCCCATTTCCAACTATATGATCCGCATTTGTTGTCTGATAAAGTCAAACCGGATTTCAAGAATCGAGACAAATTTCCAGGGAGGTCATTCCAACGCCCTTGATTACTGTCTGTGGCTATGGAGACACAAGACTTCTATTCAGCTGACGCCTGCTTTACAAACATAACTTTTAAAGTTTAACGTTAACGTTGCACCTGTACTGCGTCATTCCAGGATATCCTAGCAACTTCATTACCAGCAAGAGGGGCGTATGCAAAAAAACTTTTTATAAGGTCGACTGCACCGATTTCACTTTTACGACATAACGCAACGTTTAAACAACTTCCGACGGTCATAAAGAATACATATCAATCTAAGAAACACGCTTTCATGGCTTATATCGTGATTAATCGTCAAATATGAAGGAAAATGGAAGAAAAGACCGCTAACCTCCTTGCTTTCCGTTGTCGGATGCCATGTTGGCAGTTTCTTGTGACGCTCTGACCTTTTAACTAACCTTTGACCTACGACCTTGCAAACAGAACTGGCGCGAAAAAATGACACGTCCAACCGGATATTACAAAATAAACAAAAGGCTGAGGAGTTGGGACAATCAAAATGGGGACAAACTGTTTTAAGTAGTCTGTACAGTACATTTCACACAGACAGACGGTTACCGGGTATTCATTTGATTAACTAGTACTAGTAGTAGTTCTATTGCCAGTATTGGTCCCAGTTTTCTGTAGAGTGGAAAAAGGCCATATCTATGTGAAAGTCCTTGAAAAATGCAAGGTGACATTGTTGAGTTGAGTATTGGATCTTGTTCGGGTGCCTAGAAGTTGCCAGTATAAACATACCATGCGTAAATAATACCAGAAAATGTTGCGGGGAATGACGTCACGTATGTCAAATGTTGGCGTATTGAGACGGGTCGCTAGATGGCGCATGGTAACGTTACTAGTTCCAAGGAATTAATCAGTATATTGTATGAAATAATTCTTACAAAAGGCGTACTCTTACGAGCAACAATACTAATATTTTCCCTGTTCTTGAAGACAAAAGTTCATGTGTCGATACACTAGGTTTAATATTTATTCAATCCTGATAAATAAGGACCGAGTTTTCAATGAACTGACAAGTGGCAATAGAACATGTTTTTGTGGACGAAAACTTGGCATAACCTTATATTTTTAAAGAAAAGAAGTAAGGCAAGAGGTTACTAGGTTTTAAGCAATTTATTGCAAAATTCCTGTACATCACACCAACATACATAATGCCACAGAGGCACCGCCTCTTTCCTCATTGTGTATCTTTTTACAACTTTTTACAGTAGAAAGTATCCGATACAACAAAAACTATGATGACTCTCAAATACGAACCAGCGTTAACCTATTACCAAAACCAAACAAGTAGCCTGAAACATTTCACTTTAACAGGGTTAGCTGTCTTCTACATTCATGCATCTATATTCTGACTTCTAGAAGTTCTACAATCATGGTGACAGACAGACAGTATACTGTGCTGCCTACATATACATATAACGATACATGTACATATAACGTTATGTACATATATACATTAGGACCATCTATACGTGGTTAACAAAGGATATTTCTTGGTTTAGTGAGGGAGGTACATACGTGCAAGCCAAACGCATCCAAAATCCATTTATAAATGTATAAGACTAACATCTCTTATATTTCAATCATCAAAAATAGAGACATCTTTGGTCAGTAGCAATTTACGGTAAACGCATCTTTACTATCAGCTTTTAGGACATCGCTATGCTTGAATCGTCTATAGCGAATCTAGATCGTTTAAGGATAGAAGAAGGGTTCACCATCGTAATCGGTTTCGGGAAATCCGGGAGGGCCTCCGCTTTCGGGTACCTCAGGGTGGCTCTCTGGTACTTCCGGCGGTGGGAGGCTCTCTGGTACTTCAGGGCGGCTCTCTGGCACTTCAGGTGGAGGGAGGCTTTCGGGTACTTCGGGACGGCTTTCGGGTACTTCGGGACGGCTTTCGGGGTACTCGGGACGGCTTTCGGGGTACTCGGGACGGCCACCGGGGTACTCGGGACGGCCACCGGGGTACTCGGGACGGCTACCGGGGTACTCGGGACGGCCACCGGGGTACTCGGGACGGCTACCGGGGTACTCGGGACGGCCACCGGGGTACTCGGGACGGCCACCGGGGTACTCGGGACGGCCACCGGGGTACTCGGGACGGCCACCGGGGTACTCGGGACGGCCACCGGGGTACTCGGGACGGCCGCCGGCTCCGGGACGCTCGGGACGGCCACCGGGACGCTCGGGACGGCCGCCGGCGCCGGGACGAAGACCAGCCAGACGCTGAAGGAGCCTCTCGATGCCTTCTGGCGTCTCGCGTCCATCGAAGAACCGCTCCAGCATGCCGACGAGTCGGTCCACCACGTGAGGGGGAGGGCCGTGGCGACCATGGCCAGGGCGAGGGCGGGGTCTGGGGGACACGTCCGGCATGCCTCCTTCCGAAGGTAGAGAACCCGGGTCACTGTCTACGCCATCAAGGTTACCTGGTGGTCAAGTCAGTAAAAAAATGATTTTAGAACACATGTATTACGATTAAGCCATAGCCAATGTAGACTGACTGACTGGAGGAGGTTACGATAAAAGCCTAGTTTAGAATACGTGATGTACATGCTGTTCTATTCTAAATGTCATGCATTACCAGTCTGGCCATCCTCTTTGGCGCTATGCCTGTAAAACAAAGTTAGTTCGCTTCGTTTTTCATAAGTATGAAA